TACTCTTACTTCAGACATTGCTTTTTACAAACAACTTTTGACATTTGTCTAAAAAAAACTTTTCCATTCTAAAGCTTACTTGTGATACAGTGAATGACAATGGTAAACCGAAACTTTTTTCTAGTTCTTCGTAATAGTACTGAATCAATTCGTCAAAGTGTTGTCGCCGATCCGCAGGACTAAGCGCTGATGCAAAATAGCGCAATAAATCGTCTGCTGCACATCCTTTGTGGATTACCTAAACAGAAACAAACGAAATATAAAAGATTTACTATAATAAAAAATTTGAGTTACCAAAAAAAGTTCTGAAATCAGAACAAAGTTTTGGTAACTTTGTCTGTTACGATGCTGACATTTTCTACCAAGAAGAATAAACATGAATGTTTTTAAAAAATTTCGCTGCAAAAAAGGTAACTAATTTTAAATTTTGCTTTTTTTTTTTTAAATTTGTGGCATTTTTAGAACAAAAATTTTTTTTGCTATTGAATTTGGCAATAAGAACATTAAACTTTCATAAACCTGCCAGTCAACAATACCAGCAAGTTTTCTGCTGTTGCCCTCATATTTCCATATTATATTTGAAGACCACAGATCGCCATGAGTGAGAATTGGAGGTAAACCTAGAAGTTACATTTTTTATTTTGCTAAATGGAATTGAAAAAAAAATAGTTTTTGGTGATATACCGCATTCCTCATTTAGAGCTGGGAGAAACTGTGCATCCAGGATATTATTGAGTTCTTTGGACAGCTCTTCACAAATCGCTTTCACCTCAGCATTAGCAGACTTTTTAAACATTTCTATAGCGCTCGTAATCACCTGTTTAAAGAAATTTAAAGGTAGAATCTACCACATTATAATCGTTTTTAAAAAATGGTGACTTTGAACATTCATTAGTGAACGACCACAATATATTTTAATTAGTTTAATTAGCTTTTTTCTTCTCTTGTTGCTTTTAGGTTTGGTCTTTTTTGAGAGCGGTAAATTGCTAGTTACCGAAAAATCATCAATACTCTTTAGAAGAGTCAAGCAGTTATAGCTTGTTTTTAAAAAAACTCAGAAAATAACGGTACTCCTACCGAATTACCCATTTCCTTCATAAGCTGATAATAATCTAATTTTCCTAATTCGATTAACTCGGTATGTTGTAGAGAATAACTGTGAAGAATTGCTAGTTGTTTTACCACCTAAAAAAAATATTAATTATAATTCTGTTAGCTTAAATGAAAGTTCTGCACCAACCTTAAAAAAAGATATACGCCGCAGTTTAAAAGTTTGTCTCAAATAAAGTTATTTAGAACTACTGATTGGTAGCGATAAAATACTTGTTTAGCTTCCTCAATTGTCGTTCTTTGGAACGGATAAATGACAAAAGCGTCTTCTCCTAAATCCTCCATTAAAAAATAGCCTTGCTGGCAACTTTCTGAGTACCGCTCGGCGAAATAAACCTCTGGAATTTTTATTTGGAATCTATACTGCTTAGCTGCATTATAAAATTCGGCTTCTCCGTTGTGTACCTGGCAAGAAAAAATTCGATTTTATGTCGTTTTAGAAAAGAAAAAGATTATTTCGCTTTTAAAAAAATTTATGCAGAAATTTTGCAGT